CGTTTTTGAAACTTTGTACATTTCTTAGCCGTCCTATGCAAAACAACAACGTGAAATCGCCAAAATTTGCGTCGTCTGCGAACCGAAACCGCGACGGCAAATTATTTTAATTTCCATTTGGAACTCAACGCTACTTTTATACGTCATGCTGAAGTTGAGCTGTGGCGCCGTATGAGACAGTAAGCTCATGTAGCCATTTTTGAAATTCTAACCAAGAGTAGAAATTCATTTTTTAATCGAAGTCTTCCTTGGCGTTGCCGTCCTGACTACTTAAGGTCCCAAATGTCTGCCAACGACTGCAAAGGTTCTGGCACGAAAATAAACGCCATGCAAGCACCTTCTCGTATTCATACTGTGAGCTCTTAGTTTTATTCACAAATAGTTCTGATTCAATAAAATATTACCAAAAGCCAATATTTGAGAACATGTCTCACCGTTTAACTCTCTCCCTCCGTCTCCATCTCCACATAACAGTTAAGCTAACTCCAAGTCGAGTTGCTGCTAGTTTTTCTTTTTTCATTGTAATTTTGAATTTTCCCTTTTGAACAGTAAGTTTACCACCAGGAACACTGAGCTTGAGTGCAAATGAGGCTCACATTCAGAAACCAAGTCACTAATACCGAGGAAATCAATAACATGTTGGTGAAAACTCCTAAAGTGTTTTTGGTTTTCCTCGATGGCGTTTCTTGTATCACCCACTAGCGTTTTTCTCCGATTAACGGTAAATCTGGCGACTGTGACGAACAACTGAGCGAGAGACTATGCCATTTAAAACAATCTAATTCTAACAGCCGACTGAATAAGGTCATACACAAATGACGAGTAAGCTGTTCAAACGTAATGTGCGAACGTCGTAACAGACCGCTCTTAAAGGGACTGGGGAGGAAATTTCACGAGTAGTAGGCTTCAAACTGACCTAGCCCAATGTAAAGTAGACATAAATAATAATAACAAAAAATACAATCCACGGTGAAGTTTTCACTTTTAATATTTAGGGGAACAAGAGTATTCTTTTGCAACTGGTTATACGAATATTTTGACCCCGAATGGTTTCACAGATCAGACCGCTTACAGTCGCTGACTAGTTTTGGCGCCAACTCTGCAACGAACTTTGCATAGCGGACAATCGCTGACTCCTCGTTACAACCGCTCTCCTCATAGCATTTCAGCCAGAAGCCACCATCATCACATATGCGATGATTCTTCCGGACCAACTCGACGAATTGCCTCTTGCACGAGTTGTGGATTTGTGTTGCGCACTGCTTGTCCTCGGCAGTTATAGCTAGAAGATAATATTGGTGAAAATGAACATGGATCAAAGGGGGAAATAAATGAATCCTTCAGGCGTGAAAAAAAGATGAACCAGTAACAAGTTAGACAGTTTTAACTTTGCCTATTGTTATAGTTCGAATTTTTTCAGGGAAATGGTGCTCCAGGGCCTTTCCATCGCATGGTTCCAATTTCTTACGGCAAGTGCCGTGTTAAGGCGAGGATTTTTGGGATAATATTTTCTTAAGGTAATTAGCCTTTGCTATTTACGCAGGCCAAGAGATTAGCATTTATTAGGTTGTAGAGTTAAGATATTTAGCCGGTGAGCACCAGAACGATAATGAACGTCTCTCATTTAGTTTTCCAGTGATGAAAGATCCCCCTTTAAATCTCTCTCTGCACGCTATTCAGTACATCGAGTGTCTTATTTCCTTGAACGCCTCATCTTTGTAGTTTCCTCCCTCGAGAGAAAATGTATTGTGCTGTTATAACCATCAAGTGAACTGGGTTTCATAACTCAAAAACGATTATTTTTCATTTAAGTGTGGATTAAGAGATAGGGTAATAGAGAGGTAAAGCTATATTTATAAGCTGACTTTCACTTCTTAAGGAAAGACTAGTTTTAGATATCAATCGAACTGATTTTTTACAACGTTATTCTAATTACTATTAGCCACTTACGTTTCGTCTTTAACCGCTCATAGATACGTCTAGGTTTGGCTGCATTATTGAGGCAAGAAAAGTGATGTAGTTACACAAATCGCTGGATCACATACATTTAATTAGAAGATTTGTGAGACGAAGAAATAAACAAAAAAAATCACATAAGGATGATCATTACTCGGCATTATGAAACGTAGGCTATGTCGACGGTCAGAAATTAAGAAAAACCGTTGCAGGCACAATACGGTGTTGAACCTCATTTCGAGTTATCAGCAAGGATGTAGAATGTAGAAAAGTGGGTAAGTAAAGAGAGGGGAATATCACAGCAACTCTTTCTTCGTGCCACAACCAAAACTACACAAATGTTCTTACAGTCAGCAGGAAGGCGTTCGTAGAACTTTTGCAGCTGCTGATCGTCCCTCGGGCATGTGCCAAGAAACTTCTCCAGCGTTGCAACCATTAATACCCATCCTCTCCACCGTCTTATGTTTTCACCCTTGCAGCCACTCTTTGACCAAAAGCAGCCAAACACCATCTGTCGTAATAAAATGGCATGCATAACAGTAATAACATCGTAATCTGGACAAGATCAGTTTCGTCTGCCGGTTTGGGAAAGTAAATTTTCATGAAGTCTATATCTTCATGTCTCATATTTTACAAGGTTCATTGTATTTGATTTCATCAGTGTTCCTAACATCATCAACTAGTGTAAGGATAAGATTATAACCTTGGAGATGAAAGCTTATGTCTGCATGGGTATCTTACACTCGATCTTGATTGCTGTGTCCCTGTGAACTGCCAAATTACTCAAAACACGCTAGTTCAACCCTTTTTTTCAAAGGAGAGAAGTCATTTTTCTCAAAGCTCTTTTTGAGTTCAGTTTCAGCTCATCAGGACCAATGAGATGTAACTGTATTTATACCAATTGCATTAATAAAAATGTATAGAACCTTTGAAGAAAAACTTACGTTTAAAATGTTTTTTGATTTCTGTGGACAGCAAATAATTAAAGTAAGATAACACATTTGCAGCGTTTTGTACATCCTTGTATATTGCAAACTTACTCTTCCATCACGTTACCTCTAAGCGCGTACAGTGAGAGCCTTCATCCGGCGCCTTGTCCAACAGCGCCACATAGGATTTTATGCATTTTCCCACAAGTTCTCTTTCACATGCATCAGAAAATAAAGTCAAATAAAAAAAAATAGCCAGGCAAACCAACCGCTTCATTTTGATTTGAAGCTGAAAAGATGAAGAAGAACGAAAAAGATATAAGAAACAGTTATTGAATTAGGCACCATCTGAGTCACAGCCATTCCAACGTTGTAAGTCTCGGCCCAGCCGCCATCCACAAAGAACGCCGGTGCGTGAGCATGATTCGTTCGGATTTCATGAGGGGGGGTCTCAATGAGGTTAACCGTTATCCGTAAAACGGCGAAAAATTTAGTTGTTAGCTGTACAAACTGACACATTTTAACCGTTACTCGTAAAATAATTTAGCCATAAAAGTTTTCCTTTAAACCTCAACGGAAGGAAATTAACCGTCAGCCTTAAAATGGCGAACATTGTAACTATTAGCTAGAAAACTCATCACCACGCTGAAACCCTCCATGAGCATTTTCTCAGCCGACTTACACGCCTAACAATGAATAAACATTCGACAGGTAGTCGGGGAGGTTTAAGGTTCAGATCACTAACGAGCACTTGGATTATTTTTATTTTCCATAAACCTTCTTTTAAAATTGGCTTTGTTTGCGGAGATACAGCCCTAAATAGCAGTTAAAGCGATAGGCCGTAGAGGAACATTGAAGTTTTCGGTGCATACTTGCAAAATATCGACAATTCGTCGCAAGTAGAGACATCTGCGACATTTTTTCACCTTCCTTTCCACCGGCCAATTCTTGTGTCTCATTCGAAAGAGACCAAAAAGGATTTATTTAGTTCAGTTCACAGAGGTACAACTTGAAAACATAGAACGGAGGAAATGATAAGGGCTGAAACGGTGTCTAAAGGTCGAGCTTGAAAAATTTAGCTTCACATTGTTACAGATACAAAAACTACAGACGTAGCAGTTCATTTAATCAGCTAGTCTTCCCACGCTTGGCGCCACCGTTCATATGATTTTGGTCATTACCACTATAGCACAGAGGTAGTTAATGGCTACGAGACATATCTACTTTTGAAAATCGGATATCCCCTCCATTTTAGTGAGCGTCTGGGATTAAAGACCACAAGAAATACTTTCTTTCCACGAAAATTTCGAATCAATATCATTCTTGTTTTTTGTTAACACATCAAACATAGAAAAATATATACAGCTGGACCTTGCAGAATCGTTTTGGTATGACACACGTTCGAATTTAGCAAATAGTTTGAAACGAATACGAAGGAATAGTAAGCTAAGTAAAGTCTTAACTAACTAGCTTGATCAACCTCAATGCCAAAGTTTATA